CATGAGGCGGCGGTTTCCGCTTGCACCGCCACGGCAGCGGACTGGGCCTCGTTCGACCACGTCCGCAAAGTTTCTGCCGGCATGCAGATCGCCATGGGGACGGGCGTGGTTCACGCCTCCCACCGCCTCTACGAGTGGCCAGCCAACAGCCTGCACTTCTGCGGCGTCTGCGGGGCTCACGGCACCACGATGGGCACGGGGCTGCGAGGCGAGTGCAAGGGCGAGACCACCCGCAAGACGGACGAGGCCCTCAGGAGGATCGCCAAGGGCGTCTACCCGTCGCACCAGGAGCCGCCCAAGCCCGTCATCGAGGCCAAGGCGATTTCCGCCACGATCGCCCACGTGGTCGGCGGCGGACTGGCCCCCGCGGACCCCGCGATCCCCGAGGACCTCCCCGAGGCCGGCACCATGGAGCACCCGCTCGAGGCGGTCATCGGCGCCCTCCATGGCCAGGCGCTCCAGGCGGCCCAGCGCCACTCCCGCAAGCAGGCTCGGGAGCCAGACGGGCCCCAGACGACTGCTCGGCGGAGGCGGCGCGCGCCCTCGGACCCCGGGGCGGGGCGAGGGGAGAACGCCGCTGCGGCGGCCACGGCGGCCACCCCGCGCGCCCCCAGCGGGCGGTCCGGGCGGGCCCGGCAGGCCCAGGCGCTCCCGGCGGCGGCACCAGCGCCATTGGTGGGCCAGAGGCGCCGCCGCAGCCAGACTGAGGTTACCGTGCAGGCGACAGGCGGTCCCCTCGGTCCTCGCCTCTGGCTGCCCGACCACACGTCCCCGCTCTCGGGTGCGGTCACGGCGTGCTGCGCGGCGACGCCCGAGGCCGGTGGCCCAGCAGGCCCAGAGCGGGAACCCGAAGTGGTCAAGTCCCCGGCGCCTCGCGGGCCCGCCGCCGGGCCCGCCCGCGGGCAGTCGGCGCCGGCTGCGCAGCGGCTCGACGCGGCTCGACGCCCGCCGGCGCGCCAACGCGGCGCCTCTCGGCCCCCCGCCGAGCCGGCCGCGGGCGCGCCCGAGGCCGCCGGCCCGGCAGGCCCAAAGGGGAGGTATTTAGAGAATCCTAAGTACCTCCACCACTGCCGCCGCGCCGGGCCCGCCGGAGCCGCTGGCCGCGCTGCTGCTGGGGGCGCCGCCGGAGTCGGCCCGGAGGGCTCGCCTGCCTCCCTCGCGGGGGCCGCCTGCGGCGCGGCTGCTGGGGTCGCTGGAGACGGCCCTGCTGGGGGCGCCGCCCGGTGGGATGACGGCCCGGGGCTCCATCTTCCCACCTCCCCGGGGGCCGCTGGCCGCGCTGCCGCTGGGGGCAGCGCTGCCGCTGGGGCTGACTCTCGGGCCCCGCCCGAGTCGCCGTGGGCTGCTGCGCGCCGCTGGAGGCTCGAGGGAGCCGCCGAGGGCTCCGGCGCCGCCACCGCCGTCGACGACACCGCCCCGGCTGCGCAGCGGCTCGACGCGGCTCGACGCCCGCCGGCGCGCCAACGCGGCCCTCCCCGTTGGCGCGGGTCTGGGCCCCCCGCCGAGCCTGCCGCGGGCGCGCCCGAGGCCGCCGGCCCGGCAGGCGCAGTGCGGGAACCCGAAGTGGTCAAGTCCCCGGCGGCTCGCAGGCCCGCCGCCGGGCCCGTGGCACAGCGGGAGGAAGGCCCCACGGCCTCGGTGGCAGGCGAGCGCTCCTTAGCCCAGAAGGTCGCCTACCTCCTAAGCGCGGCGGGAGCTCGCGGTGGCGAGGAGAGGGCGGACACGCCTCTGGCGTCGCCGGAGCGGGCGCGCGCGGCGCGCGGCCCGTCTGCACCTGGCGGTGTATAGGTTAACCGCCCGCCCCTCGACTTCTGGCGCCCTGGACCTCGTGAGCCTGCTCATGGGGGCCAGGGGCGTCGTGGAAGCTGCGCCCACCCATCCTCCTCCTGCTCCTCCTCCTTCTCCTCTTCCCCCTCCTCCCGCCCGCCTCCCCGTCCGCCCCCCCCCCTCCCCCTCTTCCCCCCCCTCCTCATCCTCATCCCCCTCCTCCTCCTCCTCCTCCTCCTCCGCCGACACCTGCAATGCGCTCCAGGGCCAAGGCCTCAACATTGCCAAGAAGAGCGTCATCATGCGCACCCACGCCCAGGACGCCAGGTACATTGTTAGATGCATGAAGCACCGCGGCTTCAACGTCCAGCCCAAACACCACGCCGCTTACCTAGGTGTGGACCTCAGCTGCGGATCGCGACATGCACGCCAGACCACCACACAACGAGCACGACGGCACAAGAACATGCACAGCAAGATCATACGCATCGCCAGAGTCACGAAGCGGTACCACCTCACTGCACGGCTCGCCACACAAGGCGGCCTCGCGGCCGCTACATATGGACACCAACTACACGGTGCATTCGGTACCAATATGACGATCTACCGACGACGACTTGCTGACGCCATCGCCCCACCATTACGGGGGAGGTGCCTCACCACACTACTCGACCTGCGCGCTAGCACCAAGGATCCAGCACGGAAGCTACCACGCGAAGCATTCCAAGCCTGGCTCACCACATGGATCGCCAGCCCTCTCCTGCACCAAGCCATCCACACCACCTGGACACAAACGGTCAAGCACTTCCAACAGTTACCACCACGGCATAGGGTTCGGCATGTTCGTGGTCCGCAGTCAACCATCATCCTCTACCTCATGCAGATGGGGTGGGCCCCGATAAGACCGAACCAGTGGCACATTCCTGACGCCCTCACCGACACCAACGACGCCTGGGAGTTCGACGCCCACCAGCTCTCAGGCTACCCCGACGCCGACATCCCGCACCAACTCATCGACGATGTCGACAACACCATCCAACTCCAGCTCTGGCAGCAAGCCAGCAAGCACCACGCAGGAGAAGGACTTCAAGAGGGAGCAGACAACAGGTATATTATTGCAAGCTCCTCGCCCACCTCGAAAGAATGCCGCAAAGCATTCGGCTCGCCAACCTCATGCTCACCATCGCCACTGGAGCCATGTGGACACGTGGACGCATAGCAGCCGAGACGGTTCTACTTGACGTCACGGCCGAATGCCCACGACGCCACAAGGACGTTGAAGATGACTTTCGCCGAGCTTGGGGATGCGAGCGCAACAGCAGCGACAACCCAATCATCCAGGCCACCAGACACCTCATCAGCGAAGCCACCACGCAACGACATCTTTACGAATGTTTTTGGTTGAGAGGTATCATCCCACGGAGGTGGACCGCCATACCACCACCAGCAGAAAAGGGAACAATGGACATGCCCAAATTTCGAGCAGTATTACATCGCCTGTCTAGCCGATCCCCCTGGCGATCCAGTTTATGCTTTCGGCGATGCAAGCGGCGGACGGGATACCAGCAACCTTGCACTGAGACGCGCAGGCGTCGCTGTCAGTTTTTTCAAAACCCTGAACAAAAATGAGATGGGCATCGATGCAGCATACTGGTGACCACTCCCTGGACCGCGACAGACTGTGGCACGAGGCGAGTTGCTTGCCATGGTCACAGCAATCGAGTCCACAGAGAAAGACATTGTGTATTTTACGGACAGCCAGGGCTGCTACCTCAATTTCTACAACGGACACCCTGAAGAACCCCATGGGGACGACGGCGACTTGCGGCTCCGACTACAGCGAGCCCTGGGACGACGAGCAGGACACGTCACAGTTTTGTGGGCACCGTCACATATGGAAGCGACCGACATCATACAAGGCAGAATATATCCATCCCTCGCCTACGGCAACTGCACTGCTGACGTCCTCGCAGGCATTGCAGCCGACGAGGCAAGGGTCAGCACCAGTGACCGCCAGCGGCTTGCGCTGGCTGAACATAAAGCACACGTAGTTCGAATGCGCTTGTCGAGGACAGTTCTCGAGGCCCTCGAAGCCGAGAAAGCGGAGTTTCAGTGTTCGGGGGAGCCCAGACCCAGGAGGCAGAAAGGGATGGTTGTTTCCAAGCCCCCTGCCCCGAAGCTTTGCGCGTTTTTGGTGTCCCAACACTGCGTTGACCCCACAGGCTGCATCTGCAGTAGGTGTTTCAGCAGCTCCAGCAAGGCCACTAGGACCTCCTGGTTGCAGACGGGCTGTTACGAACTCACCAATATCAATGGCACATATAAGGAGGCCCCCATGGGCATGCAGGTTCACATCGCGGGGGGATTTGTCCGTTCGAGTCACGCCCTGAGGTTCCACGCTGGGCTGCAACTGTGGTTTTGTTCCCACTGCGGTGCATGCGCCCAGGAGCTCCCCGGGAAACTCGGTGACCTCTGTGAGCCACCCACCAGCACGGGGAAAGAGTATCTTAAGCGGATGTCCGAAAGACTCTGGCCAAGGGTCTTCAGTCGAGCTGGGACGGCCACCAGAGCCAACAATACCCTAAAGAGGGTGGTGGGTATTTAAATTCAACACATCGCTACGCGATCAGGCAGAGACTCCAGAGACTCCTCCTCCTCCTCCTCCTCCTCCTCCTCCTCCTCCCGTCCGCCCCCTCTTCCTCCTCCTTTTCCTTGTCCTCATCCTCCTCCTCCTCCTCCTCTTCCCCCCCCTCCTCCCCCCATCCCCCCACGTGGCCAACGCCCTCGCAGCAGGAGGGTGTTGGCCAAATGAACGTAAAAAAAAGAGTTGGAAAGGTATGCAGGCAGTGATGTATGTGACCGATGCGGAGACGCCGTTGAGTCGCCACTTCACAGGTACTGGACTTGTCGGTGCAACCAGGGGGCTGAACCGTATCGCATGTCGGAGGAACTCGTCATGCAATCACAAACTCAAGCAGCATCATGTGAGGCATTTTGGTTGCGAGGTCTTGTGCCTAGGAGCTGGACCGCTATTCCGCCCCCCGCTCCTGAGGCCGCTTGGAGCTTCTCGGGGCCCTCGATGGACCAAGGAACCTGGGGCCCTGGAGCTCCGCATGAGCCCCTCCAGGTGTTCGGGGACGCCTCGGGAGGCCCCGAGTCCAGCGACTCTAGAATGCGTAGAGTGGGGGTTGCCATTGCCCTCAGCTCCCAGCTCGTGCCGTCTGTCCAGATAGATGCTTGTGTTTATGGCCCTTTGGTAGGAAGAAGGCAAGTTGTTGCCCGAGGAGAGCTCCAAGCTTTCTTGCTCGCCGTGTGGATGTCTCATGATTGGCTGTGTTATATTACTGATTGTGACTATGTAGCTCTCGGCTGGTATCAACAACGACATAAGTATCCCGCAGGTGCGGATGCTGACCTGTGGGACGAGATAGGCCGTTTGCTCCAGCACCGATGCCACGATCACATTTCGGTTTTATGCACGAATTCACACCGTGGCCCTGCAGACATCGTGGAGGGCAGAGTTTCACGCAATATGGTGCTCGGTAGCCTGGTGGCCGAAGAATTGGCTGGTGTGGCCGCACGGCAGCACCGCGTGCCCGAGGCCGACAGGTACCGTGTTCAATTGCACGAAAGAAGGGCACGATTGGTGCGCCTTCGTCTGCTTCGGACCACACTTGACTGGACTGTTTCGCTCGAGATAAGCAGCTGGGGTCGGAGAGGAAAACGACGGGGGTGCCTCCCCCGCCCTTGGCCCCTACCCCGCCTGCTGCTGCTGTTGCTGCTGCTCTCACTTCCCTCATGTCTCAACACGCGCTGTCGGGCGACAAAAGACGGTGTTTGAAATGTCACGGATCGGCTAGCCAGGCGACCCTCAAAGAGTTCTGGAGTTCGCCGTGCCCGAGCCTGATCAACGTTGACGGTGTCATAGTTTCCCCGTCTGTCGGTTTACGCGTGCATGTGGCTGGGGGCTGGCTACACTCCCACTTCCTCAATGTGCATGTGAATTTGAAAACCTGGTTCTGCGGGAGGTGTGGGGCCATAGCTGACAAGCAGCTGCGGTCGTTGGGCAAGCCTTGCAGACACCGTTTAACCCCCACAGGTAAAGAATATTTGGATAGGATTTGTCATAAATTCCCCCCCCCCAAGGTCCTCAACAAGACCGAAAAGGTCCAGAGGGAACTTGTTTAGTCATAGGTGGTGGTACTAGCTTCGCTACTGGTTCATACTCATACTCATACTCCCCCCATCCGCCCTCCATGCCCTAGCACGGGGGCACCCGAAAGTACCCCTGCCCCCGCCGCACAGGGGGACCCCCGGGTTTCGGGTTTGTGCCATTCTTTGGCCGCACCTCGGCAACAGAGTTGCCGCGCCACCCAGGCCTCTGGCGCACGCAGCTCCCCTGTCTCCCCTCCCTCATTCCCTCGATCCCGCTCTCGTTCCCCCTCCTCCTCCGCCACCTGCTCTTCGTCATTTCCCTGCTCCTCCAGTTTTTTCTTCCCCCGTTCGTTCCTCCTTCCCCCCTTCCTCCCTTTCCCCCCCCCGCCCTCGCGATCCAGGGCATCGTCCGCGTCGTCCCCGTCCCCTGGGGGGGGGGGGGGGGGGGGGCAATGCGCCCGCTTCGGAGCGCGCCGCCCTGGCCCGCGAGGCCCGCCCCTCCTCGGCTCTCTCCGCGCGCGCGCCTCCGGTGTTCCTCCGACGTCGCAGGGTGGAGGCCGCACGGACGCCTCCACGAGGCTGGCGGCCAACGGGGGAGGGGAAGGATGGTGCGCAACAAAGCCGCCCGTGGGGGAGGCTGTGGAGAAAGAGGAGCATCACGAGGAGAAGGAGGAGCATCAGGAGGAGGAGGAGGAGGAGGAGGAGAATGACGACGACGACGACGACGACGACGACGACGACGACGACGACGACGACGAGGACGAGGACGAGGAAGAGGAGGCGACGGAGGAGAGGAGGCGACGGGGGAGAGAAGAAATAGGAGTTGGAGGAGGGGGAGTTGAAGGAGGAGGAGGAGGAGAAGCAGGAGGAGGAGGGGAGGGGAGGGAGGACGAGGAGGGAGGGGAGGGAGGAGGGAGGAGGGAGGAGGAAGAGGGGGGAACGAGGAGGAGGAGGGACGAGGAGGAGAAGCAAGCGAGCGGAGAGGAAGACGATCGAGCGTCCGCGCTGCGCCCTCGGGCCCTGCTCCCTCTCTTCTCCTTTTCCCTTCTCGTGCTCCTCCTCCTCCTCCTCCTCCTCTTCCTCCTCCTCTTCCTCGTCCTCCTCATCCTCCTTCTTCTCCTTTTCTTCATCTTCCTCCTCCCCCTCCTCCTCCCCTTCCTCTTGCTCCTCCTCCTCCTCCTTCTCCTCCTCCTCCTCCCTTTCCTCCTCCTCCTCCTTTCCCTCCTCCTCCTCCTGATGCTCCTCCTTCTCCTCCTCCTCTTCCTCCTCCCTCCTCCTCCTCCTCCTCCTCCTCCTCCTCCTCCTCCTCCTTCCACCTCCTCCTCCTCCCTCCTCCTCCTCCCGCCTCCTCCTCCTCCTCCTCCTCCTCCTCCTCCTCCTCCTCCTCCTCCTCCTCCTCCTCCTCCTCCTCCTCCTCCTCCTCCTCTCCTCCTCCTCCTCCTCCTCCTCCTCCTCCTCCTCCTCCTCCTCCTCCTCCTCCTCCTCCTCCTCCTCCTCCTCCTCTCCTCTCCTCCTCCCCCCGTCCCCCCCTTTCTCCCTTGTACATGCGTTGGTCGGACTTTGGCGACGAGGCTGAAGCTTTACAGTGAGAAAAAACGGTGCGAGGCCAACTTCGTCTTGGCGACAGACGAATCAAGCAGACGGTTCGTGCAGAACAGGACGTACAGGCAAAGAATGGAAAGCACGGTAGCCCATGGGGGCAAGGAGTAACGCTGCCGTCTGCCGTGGAGGAGCGGAGGTGCAAAGTCATACTAATACAAAAATCATCCTCTTCTCCCGCCTCGTCCTCCTCTTCTGCCTCTTCCTCCAGAGTTGGACCGTATTGTCCCTTACACGGGGCATTCCCCAAAAGTTGCTCGCTCGTCGCGCATCTTCCCAGACCGCCGAACCTCCGCTGGAGTCGGGGACCGCGCGTTTTCTTATGCACGTGTGCGTTCCCTAAACAGTGCTTAAACTTGGGTTTCTGATCTGTTTTCTAAGGATCTAAGCCTGCGCATCGGTCTGGCAGTTCAGTGTTCCACACGTGTTTGAATCCTCGCCGTCGGTCCCGCTGCCGTCCATCGTGTCCGATGGCCACCTTTGCTCAAGTCTTTTTCCAGGTGATGAAGGACGCCCTCCGCCCCCTAGTCGACGCGGGGGTCGCGGGCGCCCGAGAGCTGGCCCGCGCGGGCCTGCACGCAGGGGCCTCGTGGGCGCTCCTGCCGAGCTGCCCTTCGGTGCCGCCGTGCCCGCTCTGCCCGGCAGCGCCTCCGTGCCCCGCCTGCCCGGGGTGCCATTGCGCCTGTGGGAAGGCGCCTGACGGGCCCGGCGCGCCGGGCGGCGGAGGCGGCGAGCCCGCCTGGGTGGGCACCTCCGAGGCCGTGCCGCAGTGCGACGCGCTGGCCGCCGCGGTGCGCGAGGTGGCGGAGCAGAGCACGGTCTGCCACGACGCCGGCTGGCTCTGCGTGGCGGCGCTGGTGCTGGGGCTCGTGCTCGGGAGCCTGCTGACGCGCGTCTGGTCGGCGAGCTCCGGGGGCGATGGCGCTGGTGCAGCTGCGCGGTCCCCGCTCGTCGGCGGCGCCCTCGGCGAGGCTGATCCCGGGCTGCCGGGTGATGGTCCGCTACGCCGAGGACGACCTCTGGCACGAGCGGATCCTGCTCTACCCGGCCGCCTCGGACGTTGAGGGCGGGGCCTGCTGGGTCGTCTTGACCCCGGACGGCGACGTCTACATCGAGGAGCTGGAAGGTGGCTCGCCGGACGACAGCCCCGTGGAGTGGCAGATCGTGGCGCGAGACTTGCGGCTGCCGCCAGGGCTGGGCCGCCCGTACCGCTTTGGGGCGGACCAGCCGGGGGAGCTGCGGGCCCTGCATCGCTGGGCGTATGCGGCTTCGACGGCTGACGCTCGGGCCCGCGGGCTGCAGCTGCCGGTGCCACAGATGATCCGCACCCAGCAGGGCCGCGACGTCACGGTGGAGGAGGTGTTCGGCCGCAACTTTTTCGGCGGGCGGCGCGTGACCGGCAAGCAGGCTGTGTCTGCCGCTGGGGGCGCGCTGGCGGACGGGACTGGCGAGCCGGGCGACCAGGAGGAGGACGACGGCGACGCCCTCGCCGTCCCCGCGGTGCCCGCCTCCGTGGGCGGCACCGTGACCCCGCCTCCGCCTGGTCACTTCTGGCGCGCCGCGGAGCCCGACAGCTCGCGGCAGATCGAGGTCGGCGACTGGGTGGGAACTCCAGGTCTGGCCTTGCGCGAGCGGGGGCTGTTCGAGGTGGCGCCTGGGCGGGCCATCGCGGTGCACCTCACCGCCCTCGACAAGGACGCCTTCGTGGCCTCTCTCAGGCCTGCCGCCTCGTCCGGCGAGGCCCCCGTCAGCGGCGCGGCCGCGACGAGCGACGCCCGCACCCTCCCGGTGAGGACGGGGGCGCGCGGTCGCGGGCGCGAGTGGCGCGACGTGGTGGACTCGTGCGAGGAGGAGCGGCGCCGTTCGGGGACTTCCCCGTGGCAGGTCCAAGGTCGACTTCGCGGTGCCTCGACCACACTCCGACCGACCACCACTTGATGTTCAAGACCACGGCCCGCCTCCAGACGGAGCAATGGGGCGTTCAGGAGCATGAGCAGCTCATGAAGTACCTCGAGCTGGCCGGCACCTACGACCAGCTCGACCTCAGCAACTGTGCCTTTGCGGAGGCGATCCTCCGCCGGGCGCAGACCATCGAGTGGGCGTACCACGATCGGCTGCGCGAGGCGGACTCCGCGAGTTCGAAGGACAAGATGAGCCCTGAGGAGTTTGCAGCGTTCAGCGGCTTCAGCATGGCGGGCGACCTCCTCATGGTTGCCCCCCAGTTGCTGGAGTACGTCAAGACGCAGGTCGAGAAGGACGCGGCCATCATGAAGAACATTCGTAAGGCACGAGAGGAACGAGAGCTCCGCCGCAAAGGGCCCCAAGGCCGGGGAGGGCGGCGGAGGCAAGGGATGATGCAGCAGCAGGGGGGAGGTCTTCAGGCGGCCGCCTCCTCCCTGGACCTCGAGGCCGCCAGGATGGAGGATGCTCCTTTTATCCATGCCTGGACGAATTCAACCCGACTTTGCAGCTGATCGTCGGGACCTTTTTCCTGCCCCCCTCCTGCGCGTGGACAGCCAGGCGCCCGCGGAGGGCGCGGCGTGCCGCAGCGTGCGGCGGCGGCTGCTGCGGCGAGACGCCGTCGCGCAGGAGTGCAACCGCGTCATCGGGGCCCTCAGTGACTTGGCCGGGAGGCCCCAGGCGCCCGGCGCCCCGGGCCTGGCGGAGCGGCTTCCCCATCGGCTGGTGCACGAGCGCGTTCGCCGCGCTGCAGTCGAACTGGGCCCGCCGCCACCCGACCTCACTCCCGCGGGGGCCCTCAGAGAGCTCCGCGGTGCCGGCGTGTACGAAGACCTCGACTCGCCGGCGGTCAGCTTCGACGATTCCCTTGTCTCGCTGCCGGAGGCCGGCAACACCCCAGCGCCGCTCGGGCAGCTGCTCCAGGACGTGGGCGATTTCGATGTCGAGGCCTCAATACACGAGCAGCACTGAGGAGGCAGAATCTGGCCTTCTGGCAGCTCCGAGGCA